AAGATACGTTGGGTTAAAAGATCAGCTAATTCCCTAGCTGACGGTTTAGCTAAACAAGGGGCAGAAAGGGATTCACTTTTTTGGGCCAAGCTGTAACTTTAGTGTGTTTTCTTTCTTTTTTCCTTTTCTTGAGATTCTTTGTTGCTCTTGGAAGATAAGCGTGTTTGTCTTCCTTTTGTAAATCTTCTTTGATTAATTAATGAAAGTGTTATTGATAAAAAAAAAAAAAACTTGTATCATTGCTGTAAAGTCTAGTTTTTCTTTTCTTAATGAAATCTCACTTTTTTTTTTATAAAAAATGGAATATATATAAATAAATAAATGCATAAGAACAAAGACAAAATAAATTTCATGATGGAATCTCCATGTTATCTTATCTTTTTTTTTTATTTTTTTTTTTTATTTTGTCCCCTCCCCATTTACTATTAATTAGGCCAAATATTAGTCGTAACTTGCTTACATTATAAACGACCTCTAGGGTTACTACATTCACTTTTCATTTTCTATTTATTGAGTGTCCATTACAATTTGTTTGCACTTGCCTTGGCATTTGGAGCTAACTTGTTTAAACGTAAGGTCCATTTGCCATTTTCATATTTGGACTGCTATAGTGACCTTGAACTCCATGCATTTATGTTTCCTTTTTTCCTCATTTAGTTATCATGCTTATTTTATTTTATTTTATTTTTTTATGTTTCCATTGTTTTTTAGAGGTCCTTGGGGTGCTCTTTCTCCAATCCCAGAAAACAATGCCATTGCCATTAATAGCCAGGTTTGTAAGAACTTTATTTTGTGTCATATTACCATTCTTTTTTTCATTACTAGTAATTTATTTTGTGGTTATTATGGGGTATGTTATTTGGTCAATGTAGGTCACAGGCATGTTTCCTTGAGAAATGGGGACAATTAATTTGTCACATGGTATCCTTGTTTCATCTTCATCATCATCATCTAAGCCTTGTCCCAAGTATATGGGGCTGGCTAAATGGCTTCTGTTTCACCATTATGTTCCACTACATTATCTAAGTCTCGTCTGAACACAATTTCCTTGGTTTCAATGTGTTAATAGATCTCCAAGGAGAAATTATTAACTTCTAGATCGGATTCCCCTTGTAGCTTAAGTTTTTTTTTTTTTTTTTTTTTCTGATATGTATGTAAATAAATTCAGGACTGTGTTTTTGAAGGCTTGGATGCCTGCATAAGTGTTATTAAGAAAGACTAATTAGTATTTCACATTTCTAAACATGCTATATTGGTTTCCCCATTCACATTTACATGATGGTATTGGTCTTTGATATATTTCTTTTAGGGGCGATTAAATAGTTTTCAGGAAAAAAAGGTGCCACTAATGCATTGATTTTTTTTGATCAATAACAGAACAATTTATTAAAGATAATATTAAGCAAGGTACAATGGCAAGCTATGGGGAGAGGTAAACTCTCTTTACCCTCCCCAAGAAAAAAAAACAGATTACAACAATGCCCAGAACATTTGTTCCCTTCCCACTCCTTGTTTAACAAGAGCATCTGCAAATGAGTTGGCACTTCTCTTTACCCATTGAACCGCAACCATTCTATAACCACCTTAGAATCTCCCTTAATAATAATCTTGTGCATATTCAATTCCTTTGCCTTCCTTAACCCTTCCAATGCTGCCATGATTTCAGCTCTAAGATAATCCTTAACTCCAATAGGTCTGGAAAACAGTGCAATAACTTTCCCTTTCTCATATCTGAATGCTCCACCAAGCCTGAAGGTCCTGGATTACCTTCACTGCTCCCATCGAAGTTTAATTTAATAAATCCAGGAGCTGGAGTAGACCATAGGGGGCTGGAATTCACTTGAACTGGAGTTGAATTAGCCACTTCCATCCAGTTTCCCCTCAATACATCTGTGGATATATCTTTAAACAGATCTAAATATTTTACCCACTGCACCACTCTGATAGTTACAGCTTCAATTATTGTCTCTTTACTTCTTTCCTTTTCAGTAAAAAATCTGAGTTTTTTCCCCAGATTGTCCAACAGATGGCAGCCTGTATGCATTAATGCATCGCTTTTTTGGGTAAATAACATGCCAACATTTCATCAATATGAACAGATACGTTCAAAGAGGATTCAGAAAAGAGAGGTAAATTAATCTACCTCGCCTCAAAACAACTATTACAATTGAGTCCAATATAAGTGCCAACTATTTACCCATTTTTTGGCTAACGAGTTAGCCAACACATTTGCCATTAATGCATTGGCTTGGTTCAGATCCCAATACCTAGTTTTGAGTTAGATCAGATTGCATATTTAGAATATACAGATTTGTTTGAACAGTTGAACCTGACTAATTACATTAGGAGGTTTAATGTTAAGAATGAAGTAGATTCGGTATCCCTGTTTTATTAACTCTCCACAGATACCTTTAAGTTCACACGGAAGCTGGTTAGAGGCATGGAAGGGCTATGACTGTTGACAGTCGATTCCATGCTTGGGTGCTTTACTTAAATGAAAAAGTCTACACTTTTAGTAAGCCCATTTTTATCAGAAACAGTGGATCATAATTTATTAAGGAGAAGAGATACTTCTCACTTCAGTAAAAGGAAGTTGGTGAATAACAGCCATAGGCTTTCTTGTAGAAAGCCCTTCACAGTTTTTTGGTGCACTTGGGCTGAGAGAATGCCTTCATCTTTGAAAACAAGGCATGTATGGAGGAAATTCTTTGCATTAGGGTGAAAGGAACACTATGTTTATGGCTGCCAACAAACAAGAAATTCATAGGAGTTCCTTGCACTTCATTTTTTGAACACAATACTTCGTTTTTGCCACGGTAACATATTGATATATACTTCTGTACGGTCCCACTTTACAACCCTTCAGTGTACAGGGGTTCTAATGTTCTTTCTCTTTTGTCTCTAAAACAATACTTACCTTTTTCAAAGAAAAAGAGGCACAACATACTCTTATTTTAAGTTATAACCTCACAGGATTTACTCGTATTAATTCCAATAATGACTAAACTTGCCTTGTTGCTGTCAACCATTGCATAACAGATACTGTAACATTGGTATTATAGGAAAAAGATCTAAATCCTGATTAGTATGTGACATTATGTTTCCTCTTTCTTCAACAGGAGGGAACCATTTTTTCTGCCACTGGTGATTCTTGTGCATATTGTTGGGATGTGGTATGTATTTTTCATGGTGACAGATTTAGTTTTTTTTTTTTAATTTTTTATTTTTTATGAATAACTGAAGCAGATTTAGTGATGTTGACTATCTTCAAAATGCATTTTTCTATTGTAAGGAAGATTTCATCTACTTTTCCTCAGATATTTCATGATTTTGTCTTCTCTGTTTCTAACATGCTTTCTGTTTTCACTTTTAGGAGAAAAGTAAAATCAAAATGGTTTTTAAGGGGCATACAGACTACTTGCATTGTGTTGTTGCTCGTAACTCAAGTAATCAGGTCAGTTTTTCATCCTTCCGTTGTTGTCAATCTTGATAACAATGAAGATGATGATGAATAGATGATTAATAAAGTGTATTCCAATGTCTAATTGCCATCAAAGAGGAGAGGAAAGATAATGTGGAGATGCAGTAGAATAGTGGTGATTTGGATAGGATGGTGGAGATGCAGAGGAAAAACATAAGAATTTTTAAAGATAAAATACATACCAAAGAAGTTGCACATTAGGTGAACTGTGATGAAATTTATGGCTGTTTTTGCTATCTAATCAACGAATGTCATCATTAGGAATTGGTAAAATATAGCATGCTCTTCTTAAGAAAGGAACAATATTGAATTGATTTTTTTTTTTTTTTTTGAAAGGGAAGGTAAAATTGTATTGATGTGTTAAAAAAGAAGTATACAAGTAACTTAGTTCACTGTACAAAAAGGATCTGTATGTATGAACACCATTAAGGCCTCCTAGAAAAGTCAACAGCCAAACAAGAACTAGGTAAAGGGTCATCCTGAAATGCAGATCAATACTTAGCCATCCTCTAAGGTTACCAATGATTTGATTGATCAGCACCTCTTCTTATTGAAGATCCTCCTTTTTTTTTTATCAATAACCACATTTCATTAATTAATCACAAAAATATTACAAGGATGAAGATAAGCTTTCTTATCTTCTAGCTGGAGCTTGAGCTCCCAAGAACAAAAACGGAAAAATTACACTTGTGCCCAAAACATTAACTCCCTCTGAACTCCTTGCTTAGCTAACCCATCAGCAAAGGAGTTAGCTGACCTTTTCACCCAGCAGATCTTATTGAAGACCCTCCTATTCTTTCATTCAAAATTGCCCGAATAACAGCCGACCCGAATATCGAATTGAATTTTGATAGATGCAGACTAGGGAACTTGGGTGAGTGAGGGCACATCTCCTATATACCATAAATTGTAACGCCTAGCTTTTCTTTCAATCAATTAATAAAGATTGGCTTTGTTGCTCATCAGAAAAATGTCAGCTGCACTACTAACTTTATCAGTTTAAATTAGTTGGACCTATAATGTTCTTTTCATTTATCTTTCTTCTACCCTTTTCCTTCTCTTTCCAATGTTCTGTTCTTTAGATAGTTTATGGTTCAATAGTTCTATGCGGTGGAGTATTCAGGGAGGATTTGTTGGTTTCTGATGCTTTCTTGTTAATTGGTACTCTCCAGTTTATATCCCGTCTCCAATTTTTTATGTTTTGAGCAACAAAAAATTGTAGGGCCTTTTTCTATATGATGTGCATACCTTTTAAAGATTATCCTTGTAGTCACTACATAATTCTCTTTTTTTCCTTGATTTGCTTCTTCACATAGTTGATATTGGATTCTTCTGTTTTCAGATCATAACTGGTTCTGAAGATGGCACAGCACGAATATGGGGTGAGCCTAAACTTCTGATGTTTGTAAAGTTAAAGTAGTCAACAACAAAAAAGATGATCAATTTGTTATATCTTTTTTCCCCCTCTAAAGCTTAAACTGCTTAGTGTGATGCTGGAAATTTGATTATTACTGCTATCTTTTGGTAACCACTTTTGATTCTCTTTCTTAGTTTTATGTCTTCTATGGTGACCTAGATTGCAAAAGTGGAAAATGTATTCAAGTGATACATCCAGAGAAGGATACAAAATTAAAAGAAACCTTCTCATGGGTTAGTTGCATTGCTCTCGATGCAAGTGAAAGCTGGTTGGTAAGAATTCCTATTATAAAAACATGATTTATTCTTAATTGATTATCTTCTTTTTTTTTTTTTTGAAAAAAGGGTAAAGTATGATTGTAAATTGATTATCTTCTTATATGCTTTTATATGGATCATTTTGGTCCTTGATGACATACAAACAAGCACTTAAACAAAGTGTTAATATAATATTAAAACCTTTTCAAAAACTTGCCCGAATTCCTAAAATTTCAAAAGTTTTCATTCTGGATCTAGAGTTCAAAATGGTCAGAAGTTCTTAGGTTTAAAACAAAGGCCATGAGGTATATTTAAATGCATTTGAAGTCTAATCTAGAAAATCAGATTTTTGACAATAATCTCTCTATAATTTCATATTGTTGACATGTTCATATGTTAACTTTATTTAGTACCTGAACTTGTTGATGGTCTTCAGTGTTTTGAGAACTGGACAACACCGTACAGTTTATTTGAACTGTCAACCAGTTAGGTTAGATACCTAAATTGCCAAGTCACCAAAGCTTCATGTCCAAAAAAATACTTTTGAACCATTTGGCTAAACCATTAAAACTATGAACTACGTGATGATTTGAGGTACTGGATGGTTATTTCCACGCCTTTCTTTTATGTTTACCTTAATCAATTAGGAAAGTTAAAAGGATAGAGAATACTCACCAACTTTCTGAGTCTCTTTGGAGTCCAATGGGCAATTCCATCTAATATACAGGGCTTAATGTCGTCATGGAAATTGAGAAGGCTTTCTGAAATAGATAAAACCTTAGTTGAATGCTCTACCTATGACACTATGTTGGTCTCTATGGAAGGAGCGCAATTCCTGCATTTTTGTAGCCAAATCAATGCCGGTTTATGCTGAACAGGAAGATAGAATGGCAGCTCATATGATGGATGTGAATTTTGAAGCTTTTTGATGGTGTAAATATGTACCTATTCAGAAATTAGTGGCTACAGATTACATGCGAGGAATAATGGGGATGTATTTTTTTTTTGTTTTATCTATACTACTTTAAAAAGAACGATGGCCTCAAGAGTATTTCTGGAATTTTTTTGAGGACAAAATTTACCCCTCTATATTTAAATTTATTGATAAAAAATGAGGGCAAATAGGTTAATCAGTTTTTGATATTAAATGAATTGAAAAGAGGTAATTTTAAGATATTCAAGCATTCAATTCCCTCTCAATAAATCCAACATTTAAGTTATTAACTTGCATTCATGTTCATTGAATCATATATTTGAGTCATTTTTGTTTCTTCTCATCATTAAGTTCAATTAATTAAATCCATACTTAATAAATTATAATTCCAATAAAATAAAAGCTTATACTTTTAAAATCTACCTAGAAAAAATAGTGTTTTCATCTAGGTGGTGGTAAGAAATTAAACCATTTTGGGTCAAATGGATCAATCCATGTTACCACGATTAAATAATAAAATGAAAAAAAAAAATAGAAATAAAAAAATTGGGAACATTTTTAACATACATATTAAACAATAATAAGTATGATAAATAAGAAATGTTTTTATTAATGATGAAAATGGAATGTAAAATTTAAAACTAATTAGAAATAAAACTATTTTCCTATTCTCTCATTTAATCTTATATTTAAGATATATTTTTCTCATCATTAAATTCTTGTAATTAAATCCACAATATTAATTTTAATAGTATAAAAATAAATATTTTGAAAAGTGATTTGAAAACAAAAACATTTTCTTCCCTTCCAGTGGTGGGCAAGCAATTCGACCATTTTGGGTCAAATGAATTAATAAATAATGCCATAATTAAATAATAAAAAGTTAAAATAAATAAGTATAAAATGTAAGAAGTATTTTTATTAATGATGAAAATGGATTACTAAATTTAAAATCTACCTAGAAATGAAATGATGTCATAGTCAAATAATAAAATTTTTAAAAATAGAAAACACAAAAATCACAAAAATAAAAATAAAAAAAAACAGAAGAATTTGGGTGCATATCTAGTATTATATATTTATAAAAAATAAAATATTAGGTACATCTCTAATATTATGCATTTATTATATTGAACAAAAATAAGTATTATACATAAGAAATAATTTTATCAATGATGGAAATGTAATACAAAATTTAGTGTCTACCTAGAAATCAAACTATTTTTCTTTTTAGGTGGTGGTTAGTGGTTTGGGTCAAATGATATCATAGACAACTAAAAATAGTGTAATAAGTAAAAATTATTTATATAATGTGCATGAAATATATAGTTTAAAGGGAAAATTATAGTCAAAGCCAGTTGTTTAAAATTAGGTTGTATGATGACTCAAAAACCAACAAAACTTTGACACTCGGCTCTACATTTCAAATTATAAAAACCCCCACCATGTCATTGGAGGCTTATGTGGTTGTTGCCAACATGGGACTCTTAATGCATGTTGGACACAACAAAAAGCCTATACTGAAAATAGGTTTTTAGTTTCTCTCCTACTCCCTCTGTCTCTCGATCCCCTTCCCATTCTTTCTCACTCTCACAGTCAGGTCTCGATCTGTTGCTCCCTTTGTCTCTCCCACTCTCTCAGCTTTGGTTTGTAGCCAAATCAAAACCATTGTTTCTTTCCCTCTCTCTCTCTCTCTCTCTCAATCTATCTATCGTTCTCTCTCAACCTCTCTCATTCTTCTCCCTCACTCTTCCTCTCGATCAATATCTCCTTCTCCCTCAATCTTTATCATTCTCCCTCAGTCTTTCTCCCGCTCCCTCAATCTTAATCAGACCGTACAAAAGAACTAAAGGGACCAACCACTTGTATAATCAAGTTATAAATTTCTATCAAGTTGGTGTAAATTTCACAGCCAAGAGTTTCTTGTGAATTTTTATCAAATTGGTGTAATGATACCAATTTGATAGAAATTGGTATCATATGTCCTTTTTTTTTATTTTTCTTACACACTTATACCACTCGTACAATTAAGCTATTTTCTTATCTAGATGGTGGGTCAATGATCCAACTTTTCAAAGAAACCTATGATGTCATAATTGAATATTAAATATTTAAAAAAAGATAGAGCACCAAAAATGAAAATGTACAGAATTTTGTCAAAAACATTTGAGAGCATTTCTAATGTTATATATTCATCATATTAAATAAAAATAATTGTTAAAACAAAAGCTATTTTATTTATGATAGAAATGGAATACAAAAGCTATTTTATTTAATAATAATAATAATTGTTATTTGCTACAAGCATTTAAGTTTATTTTTAATCATATTGTTACTTTTGTTAATTTTCAATTTCTATCTTAACTATGATATATCTAAAATTCAATTAATTAATATGAAGAAAAAAGTTTCACGCGCAACGCATGTGCTTAATTACTAGTAAAAGTAAATAGAGGAATTTGATATCACAGACTACTGTTTTTGCAGAGTTTTTAAGGGACTCTCCCTCTATGGTAATGCAGTTGCATTCCTATTTATTGAAAAACATGCTCACCAACTTGGAAAAAAGTGAATAAAGGGCGAGATGAATTATATAATTAGGGTTCTCTCCTAGTAGCAAAAGACCCTTTGCTGGTCATTCACAACTTCAATGTGGTAGCTGGGACCTCTTTCTCCGCACATACTTGTTTTTTGTTATCTTGTCTGCAGACAAGGGCATCCATTTGAAGTGTTCAAGTTCGTTGGTTTACATAGCAGAATGGGGTTTCTTTGGGATATGGGAACTTAATGATGGAGGAGACCTGTAAACAATTATTAGCCGGTTGAGAAATAGTGACAGGCCATTTGCAGCTTTATCATCATTCATCAAAATAGGATGGCCAAAGCTTTGGCCTGCAACTTGAATATTACATTCTGGTTCAGCTGGGTTGCTAAATCAGAAAATTCTCTTCCTGACTCTAGAGTTGAGTCAATAGGCATACTCCTTATTGGGGCACATATTCAAGTTTGGACAATGAATATAACAGTGGAAAGAATTGGATCTTGGGTCATAATTGAAGCATGGAAGCTGCTTATTAGAGCCCATCATTAAAGCTGGTTAGAATCAATTGATGAAAAAATCAACAGTCTTGAATTAATTAAGACATGGCAATTGCCCTCTTTTTTTTCTGTCCATGCAAGAATCTAGGTCAAGTAATTTTAATAGAAAATTTTAGGAAAAATTGAAGCCAGGATGTTTAAACTAAAATAGGGAAAATGCATCAAGAAATCATGAATAAACTCCAATATTTTGTTCAACTTGGTTCCAGATTTTATTAGCAAACCACACCAAAATAGCATCTTCATATGCATAAAAATTCACGTACAATTACTATTTCTTACTAGGTTTTGAACTCCTACTTTTGCTTTAAATATGTGAACCTTTTAGAAGGGTTTCCTATTATTCCATCACCATAACAACTCCTACATAGAAAAGAGATTCTATATCTGAACAAACTTATAACTTGTTTTAGTAGGAATATTATCTAATCAAAATGTACTAATTTTCCTAAATTTGAATAGCAATAAAACAATGAACTGATAGTTTATGTTCTTGTATTGGACCTATGCATCTTCTCTTGTGCAGTGGACATGGTACTACTTCCCTAATGCCTTCAAGATAAGTGGACCGACTAAGAAAACATCCTTTTTGTTTTATTCTCCTATTCCTAGTATTGCCGATAATAAGTAATTACTTAAGTAGGTCCAAATAAGCAAATCTTCATATTGGACTGCCTCCTGCATGTCGGTTATGGAACTGAAACACAAAGCCAGCCTTCTCTATCCTGAGACATGGTTGAGGTTGTGTAATTGATCTAATGTATGTCAAAATACCTGAAGAAATGATTAGGGGAGTTCATAAGTGTGTGGATAATCAAAGTATAAGAATTTAAGTGAATATTGATGTAGACCAAATTGAAATCTTCGTGATTCAGATTCATTTGAGATACCTTAGAAGTTGAGACCAGAAAGCATTCCATCTGGTTGGATACAGTACTGGAACAGAGATGGGTGCAGAAACATGGAGGGGTGTGAATGATTT